ATTAAGTTACCAAAACCCTTATCTTAACCTAGAAGTGAATAGTCTGAGTACCGAAGAGAAAAATTAGTCCATACCAAAGAATAAGGAGAGGATCATAGCCGTCACCTATTACCAAGGAAAGAGAAATTTGTAGTAGAGAACTTTAAACATTTCTAGAGAAAGATAGAAGGGAGAGTATACATTGTTTAGAGCTACCAGGGAGCTCGTACTTGCATCAAAACCAAAAAGAAATTAGACAATATTTGTATATAAGTAATTACAAAAGAGAGTTAGATCAACATTTTGATTCCTCAGAAGTTGTCATCCACTCGAGCCATGTAGTGGGATGAAGAGTCGTCTTGCAGCTGCAGCCGGGCTAATCCCCTCTTGGCCACTAGTCTCTGAACAGTGGCAGCTCTCTTAGATACATGGTTATCTGTCAATAACATTATGAAATGAGTAAAAGAATAGACCAAAGGAATCTATCTTTGAAAATTAGGTTCTTCCTTGCCCTCCATTAGCACCAACAAAGAGATGGTAAAAGAATAGACCAAAGGAGTCTATCTTCTTTATCCGTCAGAAAAGAGCCATTTGATTCCATAATATAACTGAGGTCAAGCGGTAGAGAAGATCTCTGAAGGAATGACAAGAAGAAGCCTCAGACCAGTTTCACATAGGTTCAACAACTATGGAATAGGTCATCATCACTTTCAGCGACTTCACTGCAAAATGAGCAAGCAGTGTCACCAGTTCAACCTTTTTCCTTAGGGTCACCTTGGTATTAAGCTTCCTTTTGTTAAGAATCCAAAGAAAAACTTTCACATTGAGAGGGTTTATAGAGTTCCAAATAAAATTATAATCTTTGACAGTAATTTTAGTGCCATTGATGAAGGTGTATATAGACGGGATAGTGAAGGTGCCAGAAGAATGGTATGGCCACCATGTCACATCATTGGCATTGGTAGGTTGTGAAGGAAGATTAGAGAGATAAACTCTAAGAGCATAGACCTCAGATGTTTCAAATTTGGTGAGGGTTTTTGTAGGGGTGGGCAAAAACCGAAAAAACCGGTTCAACTGAAAAAACCGTCCGAAAAAGCGGGCCGGTTAACCGAACCGGATTAAATGGATGGGAAGAAGACTCTAAACCGCCCGAACTGAATTAAATCGGTTTGGATCCGATTTGAACCCCTGAACCGCCCGAAAAAAACCGAACCGAATTTTCTAATATAAATACTGAAAATCCCTAAGCCTAACTCCATTTCTCCCAGTCCCACACCACAACACCGCCGATCCCAGGATCCCTAACCCGAATTCTCAAAATACATTTCTCCCAGTTCTCTCTACCCTTTTAATCGTAGTCAAAGGTAATTCTCTTCTCCTCTTCTCTTCCCTCTCCTTAAGATTCTTGTAGAACTCAAGAAAAGATTTGATTTTTGACGAGATTTGATTTCACTGATTTTAGTTTTTTGTTAGCTGTGGCAATGGTGTTACTTCAAACAAGCTCCACATTTTATTGTCTGGGGGGGAAAATTAAGTAGACAAAATGGATAAATAATGATACTTCATCAGAAATTATTAGTCAATGATCTCAAGCGTGGGCAGATTTTTGTGAAATGGATTTAATTCGGCCCAAAACCGAAACCAATCCGAACCGATCAGAATTTCGGTTGGGCCGAATATTCGGATGAAGGGGAAAAAATCTGGATCTGGATGAGAGTTTTGAGAATTCGAAAAATTCGGATTGGATGCGGATTGAGCTTAAAACCGACCCGAACCGAATATGCCCAACCCTAGGTTTTTGTGTCATGTTATCTATACCTTTCTTTGATTATGTAGTTGAGAGGGTTTTTGTATCATGTTATCTATACGTTCTTTTTTCCCCTTATATCTGTTTCTCGTCTATCAAAGTCTATAGCCGAAACATCTTCATATTATATGCATCACTAATTAAAGTGTAATACGTAGCTATCTCATTACAATAAGATTTTGATTTTTGATAAAGCTTCTGAAAAGAACTCTGATGGATTAGAGGGGTATTGAATAATTAGACTATATTAGCACCATAAAGCAACTTGAAGCATTGGCTATAACTCAAAATCAGTCGTATATTGAAGGTGATTGGTATCGAGCTTTGTAGATAGCTATTAAATATAAATAATTGACTATTTTCTTGCTATTTTTTTATTATTATAATTTTTTTAATTTTAGTTATTTATTAATTTATTATTTTTTTGACAAATTGATGTCAAAGCCTCATGGCCATGTTTGGGCTAATTCATAAAAGTTTGTACTGAACACTAAGAACACAACTGTTATTTGCCAAGTCAGTTGTACAGTGTTTAGGCTTGTTATAAAGGAAGTAAAGAAAAGGTAAATCTCACAAAACAATCATTAACTATTAAGTTTTTATATGAAACAATTTTAATTATTTTTTTTAGACAGTTATATACTCAGAAAACAGTAGCAAATGGTTAACCGCTGAAAGTAGATGAAACCTTGTCCCGTAATTCATCAAGTGGACAAAAGTGAAAAGCCCACCTCTCTAGTACTGGGCCACATTAATACTATGACAAATATGACCGGGTTCTAGTATTCAAGGCCCAATTTGCTCTGTAACCATTTGGGCTTCTAATTAGACCAAACTTTGACTATAGTACTAATGTTTTTAATTCCGTGTACCCAATGGATTTTTCAGGACTTGATAGTCAGCTCATTATACAACAGAAGAAGAACATCTGTTGTTAAAGAATTTTTAATTCCCTCGTTAGTCCATATTTTGGGTTCTTAAAGAATTTTTTGACCCGAAAACTCAAAACCATGATTAAAATAAGGGGTTTTCCAAAGAATTTGGTTTTAATGTAAGAAAATAGCTTCAGATCCGCAAAATTCAGAATCAAACGTAAGACCGTGGTTAGAAAATTAAATAGATTAAACTTATAAAAAAAAAATGTTCAAGCGTCTGAATGCCGAAGCGATAGAGGATCGCAACCGCCAGAATCTCAGCTCCGTATTAATCTCGGCAACGTACAGCGCTGAACACGCTATTGAAATATTAAGCGTGACAGAGACTCTAATTTATTGCCTTTTTTTTAAAATTTTCCAACCTCAAGAACACATTTTGACCCCCCCCCCCCCCCCCAAAAAAAAAAAAAAAAAAAAAACCCAAAGGTAGTGAGATCGGAGGGCGTTAGAAGATAAAAGGCAAAAATATGATCATCAGAGAGATAGATCTCAGATGGTACGGACAAATATTAAATCTTCACTGGCAACCTAAATCCATGAATAATAATAACAATTGGAGGTTAATTAAAAAAAAAATAAGTTTTGTAAAATTTTAGGGAGATAGAGAGGATTTGGGACAGGAAGGAGCTAATGGGGACGATGAGGTGTGAAGGGGGGATATATAGAGATCGAAGAAGAACACAAAACCCTAATTATGAAGAAATGACGTATTTACCCTCAATTAAGGGCGTATGCACTAATAACGCCGCCAATCTCGCCCATCCATAAACAAGAAAAGAAGAGTGCGGGAAAATGATTTAATCTTCAGTCTTTTTATATTAGTCCCTTCCATTTTTAATAATTTTATATTAGCGCCTCATATCTTGAAACTTGCAGATTACTCCCTCATATCTTAGAATTTGTATATTAGCCCCTTATATCCAGTAAGGCTTTGCAAAATGTTCTTCTAAGTTAATTCACGTTAGATTTGAGGGGAATATTTTGTTAAATCTAAGGAGTTAATCAAGTTTTTAACAGATCCTGAGGATTGGAAGCGAAATGACTGTTTATGATCCCAAATCCATTTCTTAAGAATAGATTTAAACCCAATATGCATTAAAAAAAACTCAACCCCACTTGAGTTCTTCTTCTCCAATTGCTAAAAACAGACTCTAATTTAAAGTTGAGCTTTACAAAGATTTGAAACATCAGAGAGAAGGTTGATTTGGTGATTGTATATGTTGGATTAGGAGTTAACCCGATCGTTGTTGGATTTCTTAACTCAAAACTATCAGAGCAAAGGATTTGAGGGACTAATATGCAATTTTCAATATTTGAGGAACTATTGAAGATTTAAGAAACTAATATCTAAGAAACCATTAAATCTTTGGATTGCATACCCAAAATTTACATCGCATCCCACATAGAAAGTAATCTTTCGCATGATATTAGTATTGTTAAATGTATTTTAGATACCTAATATGGCTAGGTACTCTCATATAATAGGGACAAATTTTTAAAATAGAATATATTAGAACTTTATTTGTAAAAACCGACCTCTTTAAGATTTAATTACCATTTTCGACTCAGTTTCAGCCACTTGGCTAAAACTAGGTTAGTGGCTAAAACTGAGTGGAAAATGACAAATAAATCTCGAAAACTTCATGGGACTCTAATTCTCGTGAAGTTTAGTCGCTAAAATACTCAGCCTAATCATGATTAGATTGTGTAAGTAGGCACTAAACTTCACGGGATTTAGAATCCAGTGAAGTTTTATTCACTATTTTCAACCCATTTTCAGCCAGTTCGCTGAAACTAGGTCGAAAACGGTGAATGAATTGCAAATGGGTCGCTTTTTACAAATAAAGTTCTAATAGGGTCTATTTTGAAAGTTTGTTCCATATAATACGGATCCAGAAACTAGAATATAAATGATGTTGACAAATAGAAAGCCCCGAGTCGCAACCTTTGTTGGTATTGAACTGTATAAGCTTTGCTCCAAGCGCAGGTAACCAACAGTCCACATTAGGAATCTGAGAATACTATCAATGTCGCTTAATTGAAATTTTAAAAAAAAATGCATGGTCAATAAGAACACAGTACGGTTTGTTTCCTTTCCTCCTTTTCGTCAAGGATTCATATATGAGTATAAGCTCACATTCAATATGATAAGGAAGATATATAGATGGGTTTAAAATAGAAGCTATGGCCGAATACCTAATAACTTAAAAACTTTTTGGTTGAGATTTGATCCTAACCTTTGTTTAAGGCGTCATTAATTAGTACTAGGTTATCCCTGATTACGCTGAGCAAGCTGAGATGCCACCAATTACCAAAACAGTGCAAATTTACAGCATTAAAATTATCAGTAGGGCCGAAACCTTACTGATTTTATCCTTTTCTCTGAAGAGAAAAAAAAAACGCATCATATTGCCGATGAAAGTTATACCATTCAAGGTTATTCTTGTTTCGTCATCATCGCTTCTTCAGCAGTTAGAAGGAAATGTTCATCCAATTATAAGATGATATGGATTGAATTTCCTTCCGCGATTACCTCGGGCTTTGTCTGATGAAATTCTCAACTTCACAAGCTTAAGACTTAGCTTTCGGGGAGCTTGCTTAGAACGGAATGCTCTGGTTTGTGTTCGCACTCGAAGTCAAGATGAACGAATGCTCGCTCGACTTCAGGAAGTCCTTCGATCTTTATCTGCAGAGTCTCCCCGATTGTGTGTGCTTGTTTGAGAGGCAAATCTTCCGGTAGCTCGATATCAACCTATTTATACAGCATCAAATGCAGCAGTTTGAGAGGTCTATTAAGAAAAATGAATAATGGCAAGTTGTAAGATCAGTATGAGATGTATTTCCCAATTAGGAGCAAATTAACGGTATTAGGCCTCAATTTACAATATTTTCAACAAGCTAATCTATCGAAATGATTCAAGGGAAGGGATTACTCGCCTCCACGAAGTAAAGAACACCAAATGTATAGGCTCGAACTGTGTCCACATGCTTAATTTGAGAATTGTGCCTCAAGACGAGGTAAGTTAGTTTTTGCAACATCTCAGGAGGAGCCGATTGCCCAACCAGTGAAACTGCAATACCAAAAGATTAAGCAAACAACAGTTTACCGTGCAAGCACAAGCAAGACTAAAGAAATGGGGGGTGGTGGGTGGGTGGGGGTGGGTGGATGGGTAGGGTCAATTGCGATAGACCCCCTAAACCGCTTGAAAGATTTCTATTGCTGCAGATAGATCCCCTGAGTGGAAATCTATCGTTGCGGATAGAGCTCTGAAAAGGCTCAAAAAGATTTTGCTTGGGGTAGCGGTACTGGTAGCAAGTTCAATTTAGTGACAGTATAGGGATCTTAATTTGATGTTTACTAGTAAAGCATACGGTTAACAAACCAACCTGCATTTTCCAATACGGTCCCAGACCAATTTGAAATCGTGTAAACTGCGAGGACAATAGCCCCAGCGGATCAATCGACCATATAAAACCTGTTTCCAAGAACTGCAGCAGCTAATCCTACAACATTGTTACGACGTCGAAATAGTGATCCTGTATCAAAGCATAAACGTGTAACTAGTACATAAAGATCACAACAGAGCATGTAACAAGCGGTCAAGAGTGGGAGTTACAAATAATAACCTTAGCATAGGCAGCGGACGTGTGTTTCCTGATGTCCTGCAGTAAAGCCACAAGGCGAGTTTTACGAAACTAGCAGTCAACATGATTGAATATAACCACACAGTTTGCCGTTAAGGACATTTTTCCAGTAGTTCTCTTGATATCAACTGTTCAAGAAGCTTGGATTAGCACCTGAAAACTCTAAGAACAGGAGGGAGAATTACGTTCATGGTTTTAAGTCCTGACGTTATTGCGAAGATTAAGAGACGAAAACTTACGCGAGAGTAGCCATGACCGCAGCAAATACAAATGATGCCACTGGCTGCATTCTCAGCTTGGCCGATAGGGTATTTGATTAAATGTTTATATTTTTCATCGACAAATGGGGTAAACCCAGAATGCCACCGGCCATAAGATCCAACAATGAATCAATGTCGACGCAGCAATGGCATAGACCACTTTTTATCGTTGCATTAAATCTGCAGTTGCAGTCACGAGGCAAGGTCAGTTAAATCAACGAATTTAAATAACAACCTCATTTTTTTTCTTCTTTTTTTAAATTTTCTTCAAGTTTTGTAGTAAGGATATTGGCAAAATATAATTCGCTTCAATACCAACAAACAGATATTTGCATAGTGTGAAATCTTTATTGCAAATTCACTGTTTCGGCTTGCGTAAGATTTTCCTCGCCTTCGTGATCCTCCGTCATTTTTTATTAGAAGCGATCAAGGTGTCAACTTCCTCAAAGGCTCTGAGCGTAGCAAATTGCCTCTGCATATAATCTTTCTCTCCTGAGTAGAAAGCAAGAGATGAACCTAAAATTTTATGAAGACATGTGAAAACACGAAATTAAAGAAGAAGAAACGGCAAATTTCAAGGGTTCAATTGTAAAAGAAATTTTAGTATAGTTAAATATAAACTTAATTCGATTGTTGAACGGCAAACG